TGTGTGTGTGTGTGTGTATGTGTGTGTGTCTAATGTGTGCAAACTGCAGGTGGGCACTTTAGTCCTTAATAGTACACTCTTTGCTGAGCAGCTCTGTTTTAATTAATTTCTATATGTTGCCTATACGTTCAGTATTTTTGTCTTATTTGGCAGAATAAACTCAGCAGATTACAAGGAGAGAATGTGTGAAAAGTGAACCAGGATAGATTCAGACCCATTATGCCATGAGTACACTGAATGTGTCTCATGCAACAAAGGCAGCGGGGTGTTCAAGCCAGTCGTCTTTGAAAGGTAAATGAGGGAGAAGAGAAGGCCGTTCTGGTTTATCTGAGTCTATCAGGAGCTGAAGATAACCCCAGCGGTGTGTTTTCCAAGAAGTCATTTACTTTATTAACCCAGCCAGATCACTGAGGCCTCAGTAATCAACCTTGTCACACGTCCCATTAACTTCTCACTCTCTCGCTCCTTCTGACACACACACACACACTTACACATACACTTACACACACACACACACACACACACACATACATACGCACAAAAATGTACTTTTGTCACACACATCTGTATCTGCAACACACACATGCATGTTATCAACCACAACTGCATGTTTCTTGCATGCTTTCACTGTGTGTCTTCACAGGCAAAGGCGCACACACACACACACACACACACACACACATACATACGCACAAAAATGTACTTTTGTCACACACATCTGTATCTGCAACTCACACATGCATGTTATCACCCACAACTGCATGTTTCTTGCATGCTTTCACTGTGTGTCTTCACAGGCAAAGGCGCACACACACACACACACTCCCTCTCTCTCAGCTAACTCCATTACCTCTGTCAGTCCCAGGGGTCTCTCAGCTCTGATGAACCCTCTGCTGCCCTGTGAGATTAGTGGACTCCCTGAGAAAAGCCCTTCATTGATTGAACGTGAGTCTCCCCTGCTCACAATGTCAGCTCAAGGTTAGCATGCTGACTCTCTTTCCCCGACGCAGTCAAGTGCTGTAGCTATATTATGAATATCAGTGTGTTATTATTGTTTTAGCTCTGCTGACTCCACTGCTTATATTATTCATAAAGACTGCAAACCAATTATTGACATTCACCTTCAGAGTCTCTCTTTGCTTCTCCTCTCAGTCTTTCTCTCCAGTGGCCCCACTTAAAACATTTGCCGGAGCATTTATTAATTGTTAACTCTTTTTTTCCCCCCTCCTTCTTCACCTCTTCATCTCAATCGTCACTCTCCCCATCGATGAAACCACAGAGGCACTGTTGCCTCATAAAAGCCTCAGCATTTGGTAAAGTGGTTTGAATGAGATTCACTTTTATGTATTGCAAATCAGTCATGGGGAAGCATTTACTTTGCGTCCCACTTGAGGGAATGAAGATCTTCTAGACAAAAAGGCAGGAAGAGATGAAGGAATGGGGGCAGCTCTCAGTCTGTAACAGGGAGCTAGATAAATGGCTGGATCGGGAAGACAGATTGATCTTTTTATGTTGAACTTGATGAACATAAATGACGCTCCAGATTTCCTGTAGCAGTGAATAGAGATGAAAGGATTATCTAGATATTTAGATCATTCAGGCAGGAACATTGCCCTGCACTGCTGTCTCTTTCCTCCCCATCATAATTCAATATTTACAGTTTAAGCTGGAAAACTGCTCCCTCTTGGCTGCCTGTATCTGGTATCCATGGCAACAGATTCGAGAACAGAGTGCCTTCTGTATGTGTCCGTGTGTGTGTGTGTGTGTGTGTGCGTCCAGTGTGTGTGTGTGTGTGTGTGTGTGTGTATGTCTGTGTACGTGTGTAATGTTTACTGATACACTGCAATTGATTGGTTGTTGGGGAGCAGCTGTTGACCCCTCACTCTCAGGGGTCTCTTTGTATTCTTGCACACAACCCAAATCAATAGACACACATGAATGTGAACACACGCACACACACACACGCACGCACGCACGCACACACACACACACACACACACACACACACACACTTGTTATTCTATATTTGTGAGGTCTTGAAATTTATTTTAGAGTCAGATTCTCCAGAACCCTAAAATCAACCGCACATTAACCTAAGTTTAAATGTCACCTTAACTCACAACTATAAACCTGAGTCTAATTTTAATGTCTGGACTATAGTGCAAAATAATATTAAGCCCCTTTATTGAACCTCATGCCCTGAAATAAGACAGACTTCAAATCAAAGTCAGAAACAACAATAATGTTGTCACCTTGAAACTATTTTTCTCAACTTATTATCATTGTCGAAACATTTGGTCCTCATAAAGGTAGAAGTAAAAAGCACACAAACACCCACATGCAGTAATACAATACTGGCCCCAAGCCCACAAGTGGAGAAATGAGCAAATGGGCAATAAAGAGTTGCTGTGGCATTGTTATGAAAACACTCCCAATGAAATAGAGACTCTACACACACTTATACCTACATGCACAAACACACACACAGGTCTGTGAATCTATTCAATGTGCCACAGCAGGGGAAGTGAAACGCAACAACACCCAAAACCGCTGAGGGCATTGCAGATTTTTAACTACAAGTTTGAAACTGTGCAGGGTGTTTACATGCTACTGAGATCACAATCAGAAATACCACCCCTGCTAATGAAATATCTCCCAGTGGGTACTCTACACGAGTGTGCGTACACACACACACACACACACACACATGCCAGGGATGAGTAACAGCTAGTAACTGTGGGGCACCACAGAGAGAAAGGTCATCTGACATCATTTGCATCGCTTGTTAATGTTAAAGGATGTTTTCCATACAAGGAAGGTCAAGTTTTGCATGGAGACACGATACAAACATAACTTCTGACAATGATGAATTAATGGAACAACTGTGGCTTGTTCATAGCTGGTTGATGTGGGTTTTCCACCCTCTGGTAATTTGACATATTAAGGGGACAGCACCAGCACACACACAAACACACACACACACACACACACACACACACACACCACAACACAAGCGCACACACAAACACACTCACACACCAAGGCACACACACACACAAAAACACACTCACAACTCACACACACACAAACACACAGTACCACACATACACACACACACACACACACACAAACACAACACACACACACAAACACAACCACACCACATCACACAACTACACACACACAGAGCGATCACAAACAGCACACAAACACACACACACCCAAACACACATAACACACACACACACACAAACACAACCACACCACACACACATCACCACACACACAACACCTACACACACACACACACCACGACCATCACACACACACACACCACAACAACACTACACACACACACACACACACAACACACACACACAAAAAACACCCTCACGCACACCATTCACACACACAAGAACACACACACAACACACAACAAACACACACACACACCATACCACAACACACACACACAACACACACACAACTATCACACAAACACACAACAACACACACACAACAAACACACAAAACACCTACACACTACCACACCAACACCGACACACACACAACACACACACACACACACACAACACACACACACACACACACACACACACCACAAGCACACCACCCCCACACACACAACACCATTAATTAACAAACATTAATATCCCCACTTACACATCCGCCTTGTCTTCCTCTGAAGCAGATGTGTTGGTAGAGTGTGCAATGAAACTTTTCATTTCACTGAACCCAAAGTAAAAAATTGGACTTAATTACGCTCTGTCAGTCAAATAACACAATCTCAAGTCATTCAAGTAGTTGTGGTTTATGGGCAAACCATTTCCTATTAAGACAAAAGAGAAAATTTTTATAGATTAGCCCACAGGTTTGCAAAATGTTTCATGCTATGATTCAAAACTCCCCTGAGGACATGTAACATCTGATAAGATTCATGTATTTAGTTTTGACTCAGCAGAAGTTTACTTGTAGATGAGGAGAGTTGAACCACTGATCATATTCTTTCCTATATTCATAAATCCAGCCTCTTTGAAGTGGAGGAAAGCCAAAATACCCTAAAAGGATACAAACATATAATGTTAACATTTAATAACTTTATTAATGCATTTTATATATTTATTAAAACATTTAAATCTACTCTGTTTCTGTTTGATATCATTTGTTACTTGCTTATTGATCCTATGTCTTTTCTAAACCCTGGTTAATTGTGAGTGTGTGTTAGGCCTATATGTGCTGTAAGCTCTATGTTTTATATTTGATGTTTTATGTGGTGCTGCTATCTTTGCCAGGACACTAACAGAGTCTAAGCTCAGCTCTTTTTTTTTTTTAAATAAAACTTAAATTTAATTACTCCTGAATTTTCTGGGAGGCCCCTGGGAATTTATCAAGAAGGATGACAGAGGGCCAAAAGGGATCTGGGGACTTTCTGGTAGTATTCAATCACTATCTGGTTACTCTGGCAGAAGAGCAGTTCACAGACTGAACAAACTAATCACCGTCCAAGCCTGTAAGTTGGCAAGTTACACATACTGTTGAGCTGCTTCTGGAAAAAGTCTAATATAATTTAGTTTTTGTTATTTCTGACTTCATTTATTATTTCTACATGCTAAAATAATTAATTCAGGCTTCATAAAAGTTGAAGCATATGCTGGTACGTATCTTGAAAAAAAAGTGCAAAACATCTTTCTCCTTACTGCAGAGGCTCAAAAAAAACAAAAAAAAAACAACGAGTCTTTTGCCAGATGTTGCTTCCCCCCTTTGCATTACATTAAAATAACACCATGTCTGTATGAGCAGTCCCACAGGAGAAGGCCCTGGGAATTAGCGGGGAGGTTGCAAAAGGAGACGCGCTGAGCTCGTTTGCTGCCAGGTGGAGGCGATGTCGCTCCTCCTCTCCTCTCTCCTCTCTCCTCTCCTCTCTGCTCTGCTCTGCTCTGCTCGGCCAGAGCTCTCAGTCTGCTGGGTGAGATCATTACCAGACACCAGGCTCCGGGACCTGACATTCACCGATCGGAAAAGCAGAGAGAGAGAGACAAGCAGAGAGAGAGAGAGAGAGAGAAAACCCTGAACCGATGCAACCGGCGACTAAAAGCGACCTAAACCACCGTCTCCTGCCTCGGCTCCTCTGTCCTCTGTGCTGACGGCTGAAAGCGCGGTCTTGTCGCTGACATTTCCCCGCTGGATTTGGGCTTGTAGTCGGATGCGGGCTTGTTTTGACTGCAGTAATAGTGCTACTCACCCCCCTCCTCCTCCATCTCCTCCTCCTCCTCCTCCTCCTTCTCCCCTACCAACCAACCGAGTAGCGGATTTGCGAGGGATCTCAGCGCCGTGCAGCTCACCGAGCGAGTGACCAGCGATCCTGCAAGGCACCGGAGACGCACTGTGCACCGCCGCGGCTCTCCACCTCACACGAGTCGATCCAGCCAGAGCCTCTAAAGATCTCATTTCTGCGAGGAATTGGACATAAGCGCCAAGTTTCCGATTGGATTTTTTTCCCCCTGTGCGGCTACCTTGCTTCTGTCATCAGATCGGCTGCAAATCCTATTTTCGCTTTTTTTCCCCCCCTCTCTCTCTCTTTCCAAAGCACCGTTGACGCCATTTTCCTCGGGGTTTTCTGTCAAAAAATATATACATATAGTCTGGCACCGTCTGACAGCTCCCCAGGAGGCTGTCATCTCATCCGTCGCTCGTGTAAAATGTGTCTAAATGGATTGTAAATGATCTTGATAAAATATTTACACGTTAGAGCCGAGTGTGTGACAACATTAGACATGGGTAAGTAGCCCCGGTTGACTGGCCACATTCCACACCTGAATACACCTCTGCTGTAAATGTGTTAATGTGTATTAATGTTATAAGCTGCTGAGTGCTTCTGCTTTTCATGTTTGCTTTTTTTTTTTTTTTTTTTTTTTTTTTTTTTTTTTTTTTTTTTTTTACATGCCACCTTCACCTGCAGCCTTTTACATGTTGTCTGCCATTTTTGAAATTCCTTTAGCTAAATGACATGGAATATGTGAAATTGCTTGTTAAGTCACATGCCAACAAATTCGACTGAACACATGCACGCGCGCACATACTCGCACCACCACCACGCGCACGCGCAAGCACGTAGACACAGACCACCCCAAGCAACGCTGTACCTACTCAGCCTCCATTCATTATTACTGTGTTATACCTTAGTAATTAGGTGGCAGTAAGATAAAACAGCTAATTGGGTCAATGGGGTGAAGTGTCCACCACTGCACTGATCAAGGAGCAGCTCAGGCTCTTAGTTCAAATGTTTTTCTGCTGTGCTGGACCTCCTGCATCTCCACTGACATTGCTAGTCCATCACATAGCATGACAGTCTGTGACATGCAGCAGGCAGATGGTTGTTACTCCCTCAGTCTGTCATGAGTTATGTCACATTGAACTGTGTCCTGTAAGAATTCTTGAAAGATTTTTTATTTGGATCTGTTTTTTTTTTTTGGTTTTTTTTCCCTGTTTGTTCTGATGGAGTTACGGAGGCTAGAGAGTGACAAATGTGGATGAAGCCAAGTGTTTGGAAGTTGCAGGCTGAAGCACACTCAGCATGCGAGGAGTGTGTTTTAATTCCTGACTTTGCATTCATTCGTGTTTCTTTTTTCACTTGAGGCATAAAATCCACACATGCCACCATAGCTACACTTCAGAGATGCCAGTATGCATACAAATGTGGCTTCCACATTGCATCCAGTAAGGCTCAGTGGGAGCCGGCGCTCCTCCACTCTGGTTACATTCATCAATAGCTGATCAGTTTCACGTGGCTTGCAGGTGGGTGTGAGAGACGGTGTGGCCAAAAGTGATGGCCATGCTTTGGCTGTGTGGAGGAAGGTGCAGGGGCTGAAAGTAAATGGCAATACGCCACTGTTATCAGCAGCAACCAGAAACCTCAGTCACAACCACAGGACCAGAAGATAAATAGACAAGCCTCAATGAGTCAGGGAAAGTGTGGAAAAATGGTCAGGTCTCCAGGATATATGGGAGTGAAGGTGTGGAAATGAGCAGTGGATAAAAAAGAAGAACAAGGGCATGAGCAGAGAGGCAATTGTAAGAGAAGTGCGTGACTAGGTGGAAAGAAATGGGGTTGAGGGATGGATAATAGAGGTGATTCAGACTCGGATGGAACCATCGATCTTGTCTTGTTAACAGGTTTGGGGGAGTTGAAACTCTGGCAGTGTGTTTTTTTTTTTTTGTGGCGTAAAAGTATGAAGCAGGCTATTAAACCCCCCTGTTAGGTAATGAGATGCCCATGCCACCTTTAAATTAAAGCATGAGAAATCGATTAGGTGTATCCCCTTCTGAGCTGGATACCTCGGGTCGAAACAGGATCACAGAAGGGGGGGGGTGTGAACGGGATCCAAGGACAAATCTAACTGTTGGCAGGCTCTCTCAGCAGAATATCAGCACTGGAGTACCTTTTGGCAGAGCTCACAGAAAAAGAGAGAGGGAGGAAGAGAGGGAGAGGTAGGAGGAGGGTAAAGGAAAGAGGTAGCACAGAGAAGAGGGGAGAAAACAGAGGTTGGGGTGGGGGGGTGAAGGGAAGGAGGAAGACAGTTGGGAGTAGGGGAGGTGTTTTTGCTGACAGCCATTTTGTGGCTTCTGCTGCAGTTAAAATGGTTTAACATTCATCTGCTTCTGCGGAGTAGTTAGGTGAGGATGGTTTTAGTGCTACCTGGCATATGGCTCATCCAGAGGAGTGTATGCGTGCGGGACTGCACAGAGCGGCTGCAAGGCCATTATTTTCTATTATGGCTATCCCACACATGGCACTTAATGGTTGTACTTTTAGCTGCCCTATAGCCGAACACATGCCTGTGCCATCCATGCTGAACTGGGAAGAGGAATGGTTTTATTTTGCATTTCATATCCCAACAGAAGTTCATAATATTCAGTAAAAAAAAAAAACCCACATACACTCCTTGATGTGGAGAGGATAAAAAAAGATGGCTTCCGTCACCTTGCTCTGCACTGAGGCAGAGGACTAATAGACATCCAGTTTGAAAACTCGTGCTCGTGCCCGCTGGATTTGGAAGCGCTAGAAAGCAGGAGCCATTCCTTTTGATTTGTCTCCAGCCAAAGATTGGATCCCTCTAGAAACATTGGTTTACATGATTGCCCCTTCACTAGAGGGCAGGATTAAAAGAGAAAAAGAGATAAATGAAAAATGAAAATGGCAGACAGACAATGTTCATCATCCCTCTGAGATACTCATCTACAGCCAGGGATGGCCGAGCCTCTTCTACACTCTCACATCAAAGGGGGGGGGGGACTCTTCACCTTGTGCAATCACACGGGCGTTTGGTGTGCTTGTGGATGTGTGAATCTGTGAATCTGTGAGCCTGGGTGTGTGTGTGTGTGTGTTTGTGTGTGCGCGCGCGCGCATCTGTCTGCATGTGTCTATGAGCTATTTGTGAGTCCACCTCAGGCACTGGGCTGCTGGGTATGCAGCCTTAAAAGGTTGTGTTTCTGCTGCCATTTCTCTCTCTCTGTCTCACTCACACTCAGACTCTTTCTACCTCTGTTTTGTCCGCGTGTCTGTATCATTCACCATCTCTGTTCTGTCCACCTGTATCCCATTATCGATGCTTTATCATAATTGTTTTCAAAGGACAAGGCGAAATGTTGGAGGAGTGTCTCATTCACAGCCTTTCGCATCCAGCACAGGGATTGACCTTATGCTATTTGAGAGGGAAGCTGGTTAGCGCTGGCAGTTTTGAGAACATAATAAAGCTATTTATGCAGTGAGTCTGGCCTCTCACAATCACCCTGCTGTCTGAGGCTAGTCGAGGTGTGTATGTGTGTGTGTTTCAGTGTGTTTGTGTGTGTAAGAGCGAGAGAGGAGAGAGAGAGAGAGGAGACAGTGAGGCTCAGGCTAGCTAGGCGAGGGAGGCCCGAGGAGGGGTCAGTCTTACATAAACTCTCAGCCTGTCTGCCAGTAACAGAGAACTAACACAGCTTAGGGCACCGAGCAGGGAGGGAGGAGGAATAGTCATGACCCAGCTAAGTAGTTTACACAGTAATGGCCCAGAACGAAGATTGTACTGATGTATGACGCCATTTTGTTGTCATACTGGGTTATAGTTGTGAGGGGGTACTGAGTCTTAAGCGCACCACCCAAAGTGGATGTGTTTCTTTTTGATGTGTGTACATGTGAGTGTGTGTGTGTGTGTGTGTGTGTGTGTGTGTGTGTGTGTGTGATGTTGTGGTTGGCAGCTGTCTCTTTTTCCTGTCATTGTCCTCAGTCACATGACAGACAGGGTGGCTTTCACACATACCATTAGGGCGAGTCACCAAGCTGACATTAGGGACTGGGAGGCTCCTGGAGGACCAAACAGGGTCATGTGGGCAACTGTCCGATCAGGCCGGGACTGAGCGTGGACTCACTGTCTTATGGTTATCCCTGTAAAACTTTGAATACTTGAAAGTTATTGAAGCACCACAGCAGCGGTTTTGCATGTTTCAGCCCATTAAATGCAAATTACCTTTACTGTACATTACTGCTGACCAATTTCCAAAGCATACCATAAGTTTTTGGATGGATTTTCCAACTTCCTGGCAGCCAGGGGTTCTATTCATTTTAATGGGGTGTGAAAGTCGTCTTTCCTGAGATAGGCAATCCATCAAACTGAATTTTTAGCCTCTTATTTATGTGTCAGTGTTACTGATCGATGTAACACTCGTTGTTGTGTATTTATGCAGCAAGCATAACCACAGCGAGCAACTCTTTTTGCGGGAAGTGTTAGATTAAGGAGACACTGGAGATTTCAGATTGCCAAAAAGCATTGCAATCACAGGCTTTGTTGTTTGTAAAATCAAACCTAAAAGACAAACATTGACTGTGTAAAAGGGATAATGGGAATTTGGTAGTTTCTTTCATTAAACAGGTTGCTGTTGGGCAGCTATAACTTCAAAGTCTCACTGTTGGAAGATTTCTTGAAGGCAACAAAAAGGAATCATTTTCAGGAGAGTCCCTCCTCAGAAATGTAAATAATGTAACTCTGACACAGAAATAAAGGCAGACTGAATTTTCAGTGTGATGATGGATTGGTTAACTCAAGTAAGTTTTGCAAGCTCCTTTTCATCCTGCATTCAATGAACGAATCAATGACAAAATCAATGAATTCCAGGAAGGTAAGAAATCAATCTGAAAACTTATTAGTGTGCTTTTGGAAAATGGTTGTCAGTATAATCTCTGCCATGACTGTAAGTGATTTGGAGTTCATAAGCTTAAACATGCAAAACCACTGTTATGGTCCTTCAAGTCTTTGAAATACTGCTGTGGATTATGATTATTCAATCACACTGTAAGCATGTGCTGTGAGGCTTGTTGGGTATTATGATGGGGATCAGCTGTTAGTACAGTAGCGTGGGCTGGTACAGAGAAAACACACACACATAGATAGTGTAAAATGCCTACAGTAACCATGTCAGAGAGTGTATTAGCAGGGGGTAGGAGGTGGGTAATTCTGTAAACCTTTTGTGCTCTCAGGTCACTCTTGAGTCTGCAGCAAGCAATAAGCTTTCACAAGAGTCATGTCCGCAGGTAGTGGTCTAGTCTGGGTTCACGTCAGTGTAAATGGTGTCTGTCTAAGCTCAGTGTGTGAGACAGCATTCCCCACTTCCAGCTCAGTCATGCCTCATGTCATATTGACTGATGGGATTCCCTGGAGCTGTAGTGAGAAGTGTAGTCCGGTGTTTGTTTTGGTTGCTTTCTGTTTATACGCCTGCGTGTAAGTAAGCCTGTGTAAGTGCATATGAGTGTATGTGTGTTTGTCTGAGTGTGTAATATACATCTGTGCCTGCATGTGCAATGATCCAAAAATGAAGACCTGAATCCTGTGAGAAATGGCCTTTCCCCCAGAGAGCAGAAATAACAGCAGGGGTGCAGAAGTATGCTCGGTGACAGCAACACTGTCATTTGTGTGTGTATTTATGTGCATAAGTGTATGGAGTTTGTCATGCATGTGTGTAGCAGTGCCACTGCATGCGTGTGTAAAACAATTCAGACGCTGGTTTTTCCAGACCAGCTCGTAAACCACATCTGGGGAAAGAATTTAGATTCCTTCCCTCCGTCTTTCTCTGCTGCTTTCCCTTTTCCCTCTGTGTGATTCCCTCCCTTCTTCCCAGCTCTGGTGAGAAGAAAAAAAAAAACAGAAGTCAGCTTCTTTCATTTTTTCTGTCTTGTGTCCTCAGGCTAACTTCAGCCTGGTTTTAGAGCAGAGAAGAGGAATGTCTTATTTTGCATTGATCACTCTAGAGTGTCTGCACGGCTCTGCCTCAGATCTGTCGTAGGGATAGAACGAGGGACGAAGTGAGGGAGAGAGGATTAGCAAAGACTTGAGTGAAGGAGAGAGTAGGGAGAGAGGAAAGCAAGTGGCAGTGGGTTTCTAAAAATTAGTTTGCTTATGCGGGGTACAAAATGCAAATGAGAGCGTGGCAGCACGCCTCTACAGCTCTGTGATGAGCGCGTGTGTTTGTCTTCATACATAACAGGCAGCTAGTGATGTTGATGACAGCGGACAGGCCTGTGTAGAGACGCAGCACTGGAATGGCAGCAATGGAGATGACAGGACAGGGTGTTTTAGCCGCCATTTTTTTACTAATCATGTCATTCACCTGTTCTCTCTGCAGACTGTCCCTGGCTTCGATATGTTCCTGTGGGACAACCAACCCAACCCCAGTAGCTGACTTACAACAACCAACCAGCCGGACAGACTACTGTTCTATATCTTCCTTTTGGCTGGCTGCCACAGCTTCCCCCATCCTGACTGGCTCTGGCGGGAGCGTGGATGGAGCCAAGGGATCTGGTTGGCTCGGCCCGACCCAAAGAGGTGGAGTTACAGGGAGGCAGGGTGGGGCCAAATGAAGAGGACCAGGAAGGAGCACGGGGCATCGGTTTGGTGTGCAGTGATGATGTGATTAATGGTGCCATTAGCGAAGGGGAGGGGCTAGAGGAGCAGGGGGAGGGGCTTCTAGAGGAGCAGGAGTTCTCCATCAAGGAGGCAAGTTTCCAGGAAGGAAGTCTAAAGCTGAAGATCCAGACCACCAAGCGCACCAAGAAGCCCCCTAAGAGCCTTGAGAACTACATTTGCCCGCCGGAGATCAGGATGACCATCAGGCCTCCAGTCGGAGAGGGCAAAGCGGGGCGGCAGGGACGAACAGGAGGCGGGGCAGGAGCAGGGCGGGGCCAGAAGGACGAAGAACGAGGACCCCCCAGAAAAAGGGTAAGTCACCACCCCTGTAAATGCCGTCACTTACGTGTGGTTTCAGTTTTCAAGTAGCTGTGTAACATTTCATGTACAGTATGTTCTTCATAAGTTTGAGTTTTGAAACACTCCTGTGGCTGCGTCTTATCTCAACATCTCGCTCCCTCTCTCATACACTCCCACCTCTTTCTGTACCTCGCTCTGTCAGTAGCTCCTTTCCCTGCTTGGTTACACAGGGTCAAAGTTTGCTGCGTAATTGAAACCAGTCATGGCTAGCTGAGATCACACAGTAACACACACACACACACACAAGCACACAAGCAAACACACACATACACACACACACACACACACGCACACACACACACACACACACACACACACACACACACACACACACACACACACACACACACACACAACACACACACACACACACACACACACACACACACACACTCACATAGGAGCTGAGAATAGGGCTGACATAAGCAAGTGACAGCTGGTGTCTGCTCTCTCCATTTGTGGTCATATACACAGAGACCTTTTCCTGTCTCCTCTCCTCTCCTCTCCTCTCCTCTCCTCTCTTCTCCTCTCCTTTAATGAAATCAGTTCTTGTGGGTCACACCCCTTCATCCCCCCACCCCCTTCACCTCCATCACACCCTTTACACACTACACTGGTGTTTGGTGTGTGTGACACTGTGTATGTACAGGTCCTTGGGGGAATCTAGTGTTTGCAGTGTGTGTTGACCTACACACTGGTGTGTGTGTCCAAACCTGACAGCCATCTTGATGTCAGTGAGCTCGACAGGCCCAGCAGGAGCGAAGGCGTCATGTTGTCAACATGATGCTGGGCCGTGTTTTGTCGTGTTGTGCCTCAGTATTGTGGTTTTAACTCAGATTCAGAGGGCGCGTGAGGTAACAGGGCTGCATGATTGTTGTTTTTAGCCGTAACCTAGTCTAGCATGGTCAGCTCTATCTCCAGTTTATGTCTTCGTTGGGTCAGTGTTTAAGTGGGGTCTGATATAACCCAAAAAAAGATGTGGGCTTTTTTAAATTTCAAAAGCCAATCAGCATCATCGGGGATCTGTTATTGAGTGAAATTTTACATGGCTAACCAGCCATGTAAAATCACTGCTTTTATATAGAAATTGTCTCTTTTGTTCAAACAGTTGAGGTCTCAAAAATCAGACAATGAAAGGAAATTAGAGGCTACATGCTGCTCATCCTCTCAGTTAGGGCCCGTAGTCTTGTGAAACCAGTTGTATACAGGTGTATCATACACACTTTATATTACGGTTTCCCAACTTTGGGCTTAGGGACCAGAAAAGGGGTTAAAAGATAAATCCAAAGGTGTCAAAAGATGATTAAAGAAAAGAGAAAAAACATATCTTGCTACACTACAGTTTGAATTTTTCAGACTTGCCTCAAAATTGTCATTTTTTCTTATGAATTGCTGGATTATTTTTTTTAAAACTCTAGAGATTTTTCAAAGAAAGCAGTTTTTGGTTGAACTGGCAACAACCAGTAGACATTTGTAACTGGTGAGTGGACATTGCTTCATAAGCCAGAGAGATTGCTGCTCTTCGTGTATGTCTGTTGGGTTTTTCAAACAACTGGAACATTTGTTGAAATCACCAACCCACTCACAGCACACCTTGTGCTCACAGTCTGAGAAATGATTCAAATATGAAATTGCAACCAAATTGCAAAGAAACCGTGTGGGTGTCATTCTGTCATCTGCAGGTTTTGACATCATCCACAGTCACAGTTTCAGCTAGCTGAATGCAGGATGTGTATTCTAAGCACAAAGGACACTATGAATATGTCTGACCTGCTGTTACCTTTATTTAAATAAAGTATGAAAATATACTGTATGTTTACCAAGGAAAACTGTCAGTGTTTATATCCACGAGTAAGCTGAGTAAGCTGAGCCCTGCACTCTGATATTTGGGCAGCTATTCCTAATCCAGCGCCATCAGTCCCCATTTGGAAAGCCACTGCTGCAGTATGATTGACAGAGGTTGTCATAGTGACAGGGGCAGCAAGCTGGTCTCTATTGAGGTTTTGAGGTTTGGGGAGATGAGGGGAGGGGAGTGGTGGATGTGTTGGTGTTGATTCAGATCAGTTTCAACCCTTCATCCCCTACGCTCTGTCCCTCAATCACACCCTCCCCCATCCCCCTTCCCTCTACCCCCCTGCTCCCGCCTACATCCTTTCCCTCCATCCACCCATCACCTGCCACCCCAAGGGTGTAATACAGGCAGGCTCACTGGAGAGGAACGGGTTAAAGAGAGAGGCTGGGCTGCTTTCTGTCTTTTCTGTCTCCCTCTCTTTCCGTGTGTGCGTGCGTGCGTGCATGTGTGTGTGTGTGTGTGTGTGTGTGTGTGTGTGTGTGTGTGTGTGTGTGTGTGTGTGTGTGTGTTGAGGTTAAATACTCTCTTTGTGGTGTGTGTGAGGCTGTGTGTCAGGAGGGGATGGGAGGCGAGGGGGGGAGCAGATGGACAGCCTCTCTGCTCTCTGTTGTATTGTGTCCAAATCTACTCTTTCCCTCTTTCTCTCTTTATCTTTTATCTGCCTCTCTTTCTCTGCTTTTCCCCTCAGTCTTTTCTTCCCTCATGTCTTCCTCTTTTCACTCACTCTTTTTCACCACTCTTTTCTTCCTCTCCCTCCCTCTTTCACCCTCTGTTGTCTTGTAGCAGATGGCAGCGTGGGGCAGCAGCAGCAGCAGCAACAGCAACAGAGCAGAAGCCAGAGTGTGAGCAAGAGATGGGGAGAGGAGAAGGGGGTTATGGAAAGAGGAGGAGGTGCAGAAAGGAGGTGGGGGTCAGGCATATGGAGAGCCTGGTTAAGGGGCCCCCTCAGAGGGAGTGTGTGTGGTAGTGTGGTGAATAGAGGAGGGGGAGAGGCAGGATACAATAGATGCCCATTAAGACAGAGATTTGACTCTAATAGACAGAGAAGGGGAGAGACAGACAGACAGATAAGTAGGCAAACATGTAGAATGGTGCAAAGAAAGACATGGAAATGCCATGTTTTAGCCATTCTTTCTAATACTCTGCTGTCAAAACTTCTCTTCTCTTCTCTCAACTTTATTTTCATTCATGTGAGGAAACTGGGATGTTTCAGCAAACAGCATGAGGACACACTACAAGCAAGACCTGGAATAAACACAAAAAAAATATGCAAATGGGGATTATACATTACATATATTTTCACAACTGACTAATTCAACAGTGGAGACCAGTAAAAATTGTATAACGCATGAATTTAAACACAGGCCATGTCCAAAAATCACCCTATTTTTGCTACATAGTGCGCTATATTTCCCTTGACCACTTTGATATATTTGAGTGTAAAATGTATGTAGTATATAGTGCAATCCCACAATGAAATATGTGCCATTGTAAAGATTCAAAAATTATAGCCATTTGCCTCAACACCTGTCAGTGATGACGCAAAATGATAGTCATTCAGAAGTGTCCAAAATTGCAATTTACTACTCACTATAGAGTAAATTACTGAGTGTCCATTAGGAAGGGCGTGATGAATGAGAGAAGAGAAGAGAAGAGAAGAGAAGAGAAGAGAAGAGGAGAGAAGAGAAGAGAAGAGAAGAGAAGAGAAGAGAAGAGAAGAGAAGAGAAGAAGTTATTTGCCAAGCTTAAAGGAAATCTTACCCTCCTATCATCTCAATAGCAGGCATCTATAACCAGGGGGTCAGTGAGCAGGCACGTTGTGTCAGGGGACAGACCCACACACACACATAAACGGGATATGATGGGCTCCCCTTCTCTGTCTCCAGCTGACATCACACACATGCTGAACGTCCTCTCACACACAGCTCTTTGTCTGGGCACGCTGTGTGTGTTTGGAAGATGAATGTGTGTGTTCTAACGGATTGGGTCCTGGGTCAACCACTGCATCACTCCTCCAGACACATGCCCATGCGCGCACACATACGCGCACACACACACACACAGACACACAGTTATCGGTCCAATGCCTACACATGGGGAAGCATACGTGAGCTAAAATGCATCCGCTCTCTTTCTCTTGATCTTCCCTCTCTCCCTCTCTCTCTTTCTCTGTCTCTCTCTCTCTCCCTCTCTCTCTCTCTCTCTCTCTCTCTCTCTCTCTCTCTCTCTCTCTCTCTCTCTCTCTCTCTCTCTCTCTCTCTCTCTCTGCCTCTCTCTATCTCTCTCACACACACACACACACACACAAATCATGTTGAGCAGTGATTGCAGTTAGAGAGAGTGTTTTCCTGGTTATCTGTCCAGTTCTCTGGACGTGCCAAATGTGGCTCTTAATCCATTTCACTATCTGTGGGGAGAGATAAGCCAGAGCTTTTCCAGGAGTCCAGGCCAGGCTGTGTG